CAAAATGGAGACCTAAAGATTGTTTGTTATTCTTAGACCAATTTTTATTTGATAAAATTATGATATATTTTTTATTAAAGCTAAATCTTTTACTTTTAATTATTAATAGTCAAACACAAGATATATCCAAAAGGATAGAGTTGGTGCATCTATGTTAGTGAATTTTTGTATAAGCCACTGGTCGAGTATATTTAACTGAAGAGCAACATGCAGCCCATCCTGAAATCCCAAAACATTATATTACAGAGCTATTAGAAATTGGTGCAAATTATAAAGATTATTAGAATATTCAATTGCTAGCTAAGCAACTTGAACAGGCAATTGATATTTTGAAAATTGCATTTCCGGATACAATGCTTGTTTTTGGATTTGACAACAGTTTTAGCCACAGAGCCTTTGTTGAAGATACATTAGTAGCAAGCTGAATGAATGTTGGATTTGGAGGTAAACAATCTAAAATACACCCTGGTCGATTTTCTAATAGTACATCCCAAAAGATAGTTTTTTTATTAAATTATCAAAACAAAAAAAAAAGAAAACAACCAAAAAGAATTGTAGAAGTAATAACAGAAAGAGAATATGAGATAAAAAATTAAGGGAAAAGTGTGTTAAATACTCAACAGATAAGGAAAAGATATGCTGCAATATGAGAAAATTAGCTAGATAGCCTAATTTTATTAAACAAAAGAATATTCTTGAAGAAATTATTCTTAATCAGGAGTACAAAATTTTTTATTATTCTAAGTTTCATCTGGAACTAAACTATATCGAATACTATTGGAAAGCAATAAAAAAATATACAAGAAGCCACTACGATTATACTTTCAAAGAATTAAGAAAAATTGTATCTAAGGCTCTTGATTTCATAGTTATCTTATCAATTAGAAAGTTTGCAAGGAAGACATAGAGATACATAGATACCTATAGAAAAGAATTAAATCCCTTTACTACCGAATTTGCTGTAAAAAAATATAAATCGCATCGAAGAATTTCTAACAATATTGAGTTGTAATTGCTTTATAATAATAATCAATAAATTTTTTTTTTTTTTTTTTTTTTTCCAATAATATCAGAGTAGAAACTTTATTACATTTTTAGAAAACAAAAGTTCTAAGATTAAAGATTTCTAACTACATTT